CCGGCGTCTGCCCTGGCCCTGCACGCCCGCGGCCAGGCGCTGCTGGAGGATGGAGGGGGTGCCCGGGGCTGCACCCACCAGAGCACAAGGGAAGGTGGCTGTCCTGGGGTCCCGGGATTCCTGTCAGTGCCTTGACCCCACCACCCCCGCAGGCGCCACGGTCGGGGTGGGAGGGGCCGGTTCAGCACAACATTCTGCGAGTGGAACCAAAGAATTGAGCAGGGCCAGGTCCCTGGCTCGTGAGAGCACAAGCTGGTTTCCCGGGGCGGGGGTCACTGTCCTTGGGCTGCGGGCTGCTTTCGCCAGCCTGGAGCTCTGTGACCGACGGAGGGCAGGGGGAGGCCACCTGGTACGGACACCCTACCTCCTCCTAAAACCCACCCCTCCTCGTGGGGACCGCGACGTTTTCCTTCTCACTTCTGCATGTTTTTACTGATGCTCCGGACGCTAACTCCTCAGCCCCAGCCTGGGAGGGGATCTTAAATGCTTTGTATATTTTCTCTATTAGACCTCTTTCCAGAAGTGTCTGTAGGAAATAAAAATCTTTTACTTCTGGCCACGAGCCGGGTGTGGCAGGGAGGGGCGCTGGCGGGATGGACATCAGTGGGGAGAATAGGCAGGGGCAGATCTGTAGACCCAGCCCCCAAAGGGCACGGTGCCGGCTGCGTGGTCTCCTGGGAGCCAGCGTCTGAGCCAGGCCGGGCTCACGTTTCACAGGTGAGGGAGGAAAGCAGTGCCCTAGGACTTGGGCACCCTGCCCAAGGTCACGCTGCTGTTGAGGCCACAAACCCTGTGTAGGAGATGACATCATCGGTGTGTGCCCTTCAGCACAAGGACAATGTCCTATTCTCCACATTTTGTCATGGTTCCTGAGGTTGGGTGTAATGGTCCCAAGCTCATATTCACAGCCTTAGTTCCAGCAGCAAGGAGGCCGAGGCAGGAGGATTGCTGTGAGTTCGAGAGCAACCTGGGCTGCTTAGTTAAATACAGTGTGATCAATTCAGATGCCAACAAGATTTGCTTTTGAACTTGGCACAGTCAGTTGTTTGGAGAAAGTGAACATGGGGACCAGCTGAGGAAGGCAAAGAGGTGCCCTTCCAGCGTTCCACAAAGTTGGAAGGAAAGGGGGGCGGGGGTCCGTAGAGCCTGCAGGTCCCAGCTTGAGTCCCGAGCACAAGCATTGCAAAGATAAAACCAGAGCAAGGAAGGGATGTGGAGTAGCAAAGGGAGAGGTCAGTGGGACACGGGGCGCCCAGAATTGGCTTAAATTACAGGGCTGTCTGGTCTGTGGTCACAGTGGTGTTTGGGTGCAGGGCAGGGGCTGTGAGATATTTTTAGTGGAACCACTGACGGCCTTCTCAACAAACCTGAATTCTTCCTTGTACAAAACGAATTCCACATCGATAAAAAGTTTTAAGTAGGAAATGAAAACATTTGTAGCTGAGCCAGCACTTTGAAGGCTGAAGCAGGAGGATCACTTAAACCTAGGAGTTCGAGGCCAGTGTGGGAAACAGCAAGACCCAGTCTCCAAAAATTATTTAAAGGAAAAGATGACTTAAAATGACCTTTCAGAAGAAATGGCCTTTCTAAACATGATACCCACCAAGTTAGAATTTATAGATGAAATGTTAAAATTTATAATACAGCAAAATATACCATGAGGTGAAAAAGTTTATAAGCGGGAAATGGGGAGACAATTTTCAAGCATGACGTTAGAAAGGCTGTTTTCCTCCGAAGGAGATTTTATAAGTCACGGCAAGTAAATAACCCAGTAGATAAATGGGCAAAGAATATGAACAGACCATTGACAATGAGAAATCGAAGCGGACAAATAATTACCCAGGACGTGGTGTTCAATTGTGTTACAAAGCAAATACAGATCAAAACTGGAAGGTAACATCTTACCGAGTTAGGGTTGTGAGATTTTCTTAGTTGCTACCGTGAGGCATTCATCACACCAGTCACTCGTGTGCGGCGAAGGTAGCCCTCGTTCCAAAGCACGGGGACCGGTGTGTCCGGAAGGAAGCCCACACCGACTTGTGCACGAGCCTGCTGGTAACCAGCCAGAACTCTGTGGTGTGATTGTCTCGGGTCTCGGGGGCGGGTCAGCTGTTCGCACGCTGAGTGCCCTGTGTTGCATTCAGCTGGGAGCCGGCTCAGCCTTCGGGACCTCCATCCACGGGGCCTCTAGTCTCCTGCAGTCTCTACCACCGGCACCCTGACCCTGAACTCCCACAGTGGGAGAGTGAAGGCCCCAGAATGTCACTTGGTTGCATTCTGTTGCTCTCAAAGCCAATCACAAAACCAGCTCAGATTGGACAAGAGGCCGTGGGTCATCCATGCTCGGGCATGCGAGGAATTGTTGGCAGCCTGTCTGGAAACTCCCTTTTCACCCCAGCCTCTGCCCCCCATCTCCCCACCCCCATGGCCTGGAAAGGCTGGTCCAGACCTGAACTGGTACAAAGACACACTTATCCTCAGACCCAAGACAGTCCTGAAAATAGGTATGTCGGTTTTCGATGAGTTGATCAATCTTTTATCCATTATCCAGCCAGATCATTCTTGCCCTTTTTCTGAGATTATTCATAAGCGTACCCTGCCTATAAGAGCCCCTGCTGTAGTTTTGTTTGGATTTAAGTAGTATTACAGTGGTGAGAAAACGTTGTACGTGTTTTATTCTCTGACTTGCTTTTCTCCCTCGATCTTAGGGTTCTAAGATCCGGCCCTGTGGGTGCATAACACCCTGTTATATGAGTAGACAGCTCGATTACCCGTGAAACAATGACAGACAGTGACTATATGGGCTCTTTCGGAATCTCAGTTACGATGCCCTTCACAAGTGTTTGTGACGGGGCCTCTGGTGCACCCGGGCAAGGGCTTCTCTTACTGTGCCCACCCAGAAGTAGAATCACTAGAGCACACAGCGTGCGAATGTTCAACTCACGAAATTCTGCCAGATTACTTTTTATAGAAAGTTGAAGCCTTCTGTTCCTTCACCTACCCTACACAGACCTTCTCCATCCACCTTCTTTCTGCACGTAATGCTGACTGTCCTGCTTAGTTTTTGCCAATAGATTGGGAGTGAAATGGTCTTCATCGTGGCTTAAATTTCATCTCTGATTAGTGGGAATGTGAGGCAGGTTGCATGTGATTACCAAAACTTCAAATGTCTTTAATATGCCTCTTGGTGGTTTTTTACCTGTTTTTCTACCGCATCTTTTGCTGTCCTTTAATTTCTAGGTGTGCTTTATACATTCTGTCTCTTAGCTCTGTTGGTGGTTTCTCTTGCGGTGCAGAAGCTTTTTGTGTGTGTGTAGTGGGGATCGAACTCGGGCCCTTCCGCTTGTGAGGCAGGCACGGAACCACTGAGCCAAGTCCCCAGCCCAATATATATTTTGTCAGTGTTTCTCTAGCAGGACCATGTCCATTCTTTTTTTCTTTTTTTTTGGTACCAGGGATTGAACTTGGGTCCTTGCGCTTGCAAGGCAGGCCACCGAACTGCTGAGCTAAATCCCCAGCGCAGGACCATGTCCATTCTTATCCCTTTGTTCATACACATTTTAGAAACAAGTTTCATGAAAATTTTTCTAGATGTATAAAATCTATAACTCCATTTGAAGAGAATTGAAATCATTATAATGCCAAGCATTCCGATCCATGAACATATTTTAAAAATATATTTGGGCTATGTGCTCACTTCAGCAGCACATATACTAAAATTGGGCTGGGCTTGGTGGTGCACAGCTGTAGTCCCAGCACTTGGGAGGCTGAAGCAGGAGGATTTCTGCAAGTTCAAGGCCAGCCTCAGCTACGTAGTGAGTTTAACACCAGCCTGAACTAGATAGCAAGATCCTGTCTCCAAAAAACAAACAAAAAATGTATTTGGACCTTTAATGTCATCCAAAACAGTTTTATACTTACTTGAATAGGGGTCTGGCAAATCTTTCATTAGACTGATCCCTAAATGTCTTATATCTGTTTTGATAATAATAAGTAGTTATGACTTTTGTTAGTGTGTAGAAATGTGATTTAGTTTTTACCATCAATCCAGCAAATTCTTCATGCTGTCTTTCTTAGTCCAAGAAATTAACTGAGGAATCTTTTGTGCTTTCTATATAAGAAATTCCATTGATGAGGCTTAAATTTTGTTCCATTCTAATAATTAAAGCTGTGCTTTTTTTTTTTTTTTTTTTTGGTGCAGGGGACCGAACTCAGGACCTTGCGCTTGAAAAGCAGGTGGCAGCACCACTGAGCTAAATCCCCCCACCCAAGCTTCTTTTTCTTGTCCAATCTCACTGGCAAGGAGCTCAGATGCCATGGTGATGACTACAAATCTTGTTTTATTGTTGAT